TTGTTGTATTTTTTAATAGAGACAGAAGTTTCCCCATTTTTTTGGCCAGGCTGGTCTCAAAACTCCTGGACCTCAGGTGGTCTGGCCTGCCGTCGAATTCCCACAAAAAAGTGTTGGGAGATTACAGGCGTGAGCCACTGCGCACTGGGCCAAAATTTATTAATGCGTTGAACTTTTTTTTTTTGGTTTTGTTTTTTTGAAATGGGAGTCGTGCTTTGCCTTCTGTTCGCCCCAGGTGGAGCTTTACTAGTGGTGCAATTTCTCGCCTTCGACTGCAAACCTTCCGCCCCTGGGTTTCAAATGGACGTTTCTCCTGCCTCAGCCTCCCGAACCAGCTGCGAATTTAACAGGGGCATGTGCCACCATGGCCCAGCTAATTTTTTTGTGTTTTGTTAAAGACGCTGGTTTCACCATTCGACCAGGCTGGGTCTTGGGAAACTTCCCACCTTGTTGATTCCACCCACGCCTTTTCAGCCTCCCAAAAGTGTTGGAAAATTTTACAAGGCGTGAGCCATTCAACACCCAGCCGGTGACTTTTTACAAATTATGCGTTTTCCCCTTGCCAAAGAGGCAGCATGTCCCATTACTATTATATGGTTTCTTTTAAAAAACCTTAGGTGTCAGTTCTCCACCTTTCCCTGAGAGCGCAGCCATCCTTAAGAGCTTGCTTGAGGAGGCGCCAGGTGCCGGTGTGGGCTTACGTCTGTAATTTTTCCCAGCCACTATTGGGAAGGCTGAAGGGCTGGCGATTCATTGAGGCTCAGGGTAAAGGGATCGAGACCGCCTGGCGCCTCAAAACACAGGTGAAAACCCCATCTCTTACTAAAAAAAAAAACACAAAAAAAATTAGCCGGCGCATGGTGGGCGGGTCGCCTGTAGTCCAGCTACTCAGGAGCGGCTTGGAGGCAGGGAATGCGCCGTGAAAGACCCGGGATGCGCGGCTTGCAATCGAGCCAGAGCAATTCACGGGCCACTTGCCCTCCAAAGCCTGGGGTGACAGAGCAAGAACTCCGTCCTTCAATCTCAAAAAACAAACAAAAAGAGTTGCTGAGGAGAGAGTATGAGGACAAGAATATTTCCTTTCTATCCTTAACCTTGGCAGGATCTTCCTCTTTCAGGTTAACTATGATACCCTATCCTCTCTGGTGACTCAGAAGTGTTACAGCATTTTTTTTAAGTCACTCTAAATGTGACTGTTATATAGATACAAGAACTGTTATATAGATACAGAGCTGGTAGGTGTCTGAAGTATGCATCACAGTTAGCCCAACTAGCTTTTCAGGTGTTGTATTTTATGATAACCTTGCTTTCTTACTGAAAGAGGGACTTTCTTCTTTTCTAAGCAGGTGTGGCCATTTTCATGACTTGCTCCTACATGCATGTTAGCTCTTAGCAAAATTCCTGACAAAGTGGAAAATATTACAAGCCACTAAAAGCATTTAGAATGAAAAACTATTCGTCAGTGGCTTAAAGATATTTAGCCATTCTAAATCCTAAATCAAAGTGTGTGTATGTCTGTCTGAGCACATGCTAAAAAGTAATTTAGAAATTACTAGACACAGAAATATTTGCATTTCCTTAGAAAATGCTCACATTCTTTGACAAAATCTTTGCCATACATTTTTTAAAATAACAGATAATTTCACTAGACAGTCTGTTCGTTTAAACTTCATGGGTACACGTGGTCAGGAATTTTCTATTTATCCTCTTTCATCTATTCCTTACCAGCATCCTTCCTCCAGATGTGCCTCCCTCTGG